CAATGCCATTTTGGGAGTTTGCAATATTTTCTATGCAGACTGCTTTTCCTTTGTATAACCAGACTCCAACATAGCTGCAGTGTAGATAACACCCCCTGTATTCTATCGCATTATATGTTGTGTAACATACAGGTGGCCACCTCTGACCAGTAGCCCACTGTTGGAACAGCCATGATGCGTCCATACGCTCTTCTCCATAATTATGCCACAATAGGTAGTGTTCAAGGATTAGTAGAGGCTAACATTGCAGGCTTTAATTATATAAAAAATCTTCCTCCTATATACATTCGCCACAAAATCATCCAGTGGATTTCTACAAATGCTCTGTCGTTGGTAATTACCATAACCACAGAAATTGTCCGAAATTACACTTCCAAAGTTCAGAGTTCAGATCTTCCATAGCTTCCAACTGTTTACATACCTGTAGAGAGAGCATGTTGTGGGTTACACTGCTGTACAAGTGGGCCAGCTTGTGGATATCTGATTAAGACCAATGCAAACAAGGCGGTGAACTCCTGCACTCCTTAATTAATGATTAATTGATGAAGTCAAAGGGAGTGAGAAACTAGCAGAATTGAGTTTGGTGAGTAAAATTGATGATAATAGAGACGGTGATAAAGCTGGATTCTGCTGTTTATTGTCCTCGTCTGTACATTCTGATTATATTAATTAAATACTCCTTTTTGCTTTTTGTGTGCGGTGTGGTAAGTGTGCGGCTTCCCATCGCTCTCTGTCTCGCATCTGACCAGCAGCTCCGGTTGTCGTGACATCCCTAGTTCAAAGACACTATTAACTCCAAACTGCATTATTCGCAGCACCTCTGTCTTTTCTTTCAATGGGTGGTTCCCTCTCTAACAAGTCTCAGCACCATGCTGCCATCAACCAGTCGACAGTCCACCAGCTGTACGCCGTTGACACCCCAACATGAGCAGATGGCTTCAGCAGCCCTCCCTGCTCTTTTTCTCCAGCCACCCGTATGTTCATATTAACATGAAACATGGTTGCTGGTGCAATCGGTCAGCGAGGAGGTTAGAGCTGTTACAGTGATGATGATGAAAACAATAATAATCAAGCCCTCGCCACTGTAATGACTCAATCCTTTATCCTGTGGGGATTTTGTGTGTGTATGTACTTTCCATGTTAATAACGCTCAGAAAACAATCAGTTAAGCCAGCAGTGGTGAAAGAAAGCAGAATTTGAAATACCTCATTAATCACTGCGCTCTCCCACTTTATCCAACACATCGTGAATCATCCCTTTAAGTAATCCACTTTGAGCTCTAATCCCCCGCTATCCTCGCCTCACCTTTTGCGTATTGAATTAAAAGAGAGAGTCACACTCTCATACCCTAGATTATGTGTCCACTGATGAATAAATAAAGTTTGTCAAAGCGCTGGTGAGTCACCCCAAAGAATGGTGTTTGGATTTTATTTTTAGGAGGATTTCTGAGGTGGGGGATATAGATTTGTCACATTTATAACAGAAAAAAACTGTGTCAGAGCCCCCCCTTCCCACCTATACAGTAATTGTATTGAATTAAATAGTGGCTAGCCTGCAACTGGGAATTGTACCTGTGAGTGTTAGATTGGTTTGTTGACTGGTACCTTATTAAATATGTATGTGTTTCCATGCCTCTCTGTCTACAAACACACACACACACAAACACACACACACACACACACAAGCCTGATGGCACAACACAAGAGAAGTTAAATTGTCAAAGGAAGTAGGTCAAGATAGAGAACAAAATAATGATAGAGCAGGAGGGAGGGCAACTGCATACAGCTGATCATCAGGACAGAGAGAGAGAGAGAGAGAGAGAGGCAGAGAGAGATTGAGCTTTGAATGATGGATTAGTCAGAAAGTCAAATTGGAGTGGGAGAGAACTGAAAGATGAATTTGTTAATCTGTTCTCTCCCTGATGTTGCTTTATCTACTCCTTCCCCAGTGGTTGACTTAAACCGACCTGTGTTTAGGTTTTACTTGTCAAGCAACTTTGTGTTTTTTTAGTGAATGTCTATAAAGAGCAAAAGCTGAAGTATTGTGGTGTTGTTGGAAGAGGTGGACTGATGGAAGCATCTAACTTTGACACTGGAGACTGCATTTAGTATTCCATCTCCTACCAGTCAGTTTAGTTTTAACCATGACCACAATCTTTCCCTAACGTTGAACAAGTTTATTTACCTAACCTCACTATCCTAGGGAGTATATCCATATTGGACATTTCTTTCTCAATATTTAGGGCCAAATCCAACAATCAGTTATTGTAGGCTACTGGGCTGCCTGTTCTCACTCCCAAGACGTCAAATATGACCACTTCTTAAGTGGCCCTATGCTTTAAAGTATGACGCTGTAGTGTAAGTTCTGGACAAAGCCGTCTGGCACAATGTATAAAAAGTGGTAAAGTCCACATATGGAGGAGGTTGGGGCAGATGGATGGGTTAAATAAACACATGACTTTCAACCAGGAGGCCACTGTTGGGGGTCCCGTGTGACACCATAAGTCAACATTGACTTCTTTTTAACTTGCATTACTTGCGTTACAAATCTAACTTAACTTGCGTTTATGATTGTTTGTTACGTTATGTACTTATTTGAACCTCAACCACATATTGCTAACTTGACCGCCGAGCCATGCACATGCAAAACCGATACTAGAGGGTACAGTGTTGTTTTAAGCATAGGGCCACCAAGCAGCTCAAACTGCCCTATCTAGGGCTACTGTAGAAACATGGTGGTTCAACCTGCTCCCTCTGTAGACAAAAATGGTTAATTCTAAAGTAAAGAAAACATTCTTTTTTTCAAGTGACAATACACAAATGGAAACATACCTATGAATATTATATTCCATATTCTGCTAATAAGGCCTCCTAAATGTTAAACACTGGACCTTTTGATGCTGTGCATCCGTGATACAAACATAATCTTGTGGGTTAAAAAGCAAGCACTTCTCTGGCTTAACCTGAACCTTAAAACCAAGTCTGAACCTTCAAATAGGCCCACAAAGATAGCGATACAAGTCCTCACATGTGTATTTGTGTGTGTGTCTGTATGTACAGACACACTTAATCTGCCCTAATCTCCTTCTGTCAAGAGTGTTGGTTTTTGAGTGTTAAGTTCAATGCTATGGAAATCTCAAATAAATCAACCGATTCAGAAAAGACACAGAGGAATTGAAGCTTTAGCAAGATTATCCCCCCCCCCCCCCGACACACACTCTCCCAGATGACCATTTGACCAAATCATTCCAGCACAGCTGACACAAGTCCTCAGTTTAAACTGAATTAATATTTAATGCATATCTGATTGACTTCCATCTGCTTGCCTTCACATTAACACACTAACATGCCCAATTAGTCCCCGCTAAGAACATTTAATGCATCTCAAGTCAATTACCTTTTACTCCATTTTCCAGCTACTTCATTTCTGTGCATGGCCTAACTAAATAAGGCCACATATATTTCAATAATCAAAGCAGAGCAATTGTTTTCATTCTGAACATCGTCTGCCTGTTAAGGTGTTGCCAGTATTTAGCAAGACTCTATCTTCATAAATTACAATGACAGTCAGAATTTGTCATCAATATTCAAGATGAGTCCTGATTCTTTTGCAGACTCCCTGACTTTTTATGTTTTTTTGGGGGGGAATATGGATAAATATGGTTAAGCTTTATTACAATTATTATTTTTTAAATCTGTAATTACTCAAATTCTAAAGATTAACCAAAATAATTAAAATTCAATGTGTGAGTAATAACGAAGGAAAGAAGAGCCAAAGTACATTCAAATGTTGATTATTTAAGTAGATTTTATCTGTTTACCATGTAGCTATAGTCTATAATGGGTTATACTTGTCATTGTTTAGTACATCTAATGTTTCTACTGTGATACAGTGTTTTATGACAGATTTAAATAATTAATAATAATTTGTTATTCTGTATGTTTGTGTTCAAAATGAATATTTTGAGGCACGTCACAAGTGAAATTTTTAAGTCGCCCTTAAGTATGGTCTGTGTGCATGAGTTTGCTTCTATATTCCTCTTTTAAACCATATCTGACTTTTGTTAATATGTGTGTTAATTATTCTTAGTCATCATTGCAACATCTGCCCATTGCACTCTGTTGCACCCTGTAGCTTTTATTTTGTGGCTTGAGTTCTGTAAATCAATTTAAATGTAAATGTTATATATTATTTTCTGTATCAAAATCTGTGGAATAGGTAGATTGTTTTATTTATTATTAATTATTTCTGTAATTAAAATGTCTGTAAAGGCCGTCAGTCAGCTATCTGTATGACATTATCATTTTAATTTTTTCAGTGGGTGACATTGTGGCTTCGCTGAGAAATGCACCATTGAGAGAGCATTTCTTTGACTCCAGACGTTTTATCTAGTGCCACCCTCGGGTCAAAATTTCCACTTGACTACCACTTTAATCTTTAACAAAAGCTGAAAAAGTGTTGTGCTGTGGATATTCATTGTTTCCAGAGTTAGGGTGGATATTTGATGTTAGTGGCCCCATGGCTTTAACAAACTACTGCAGTGGCTCTAAGAGTAGCAAAATCATCAGTATGGTGTCCAATACTAGAGACCGGAGTACAGAGATTTTTGTTTCTTTCATGAGTAAAGAATGGACTTTATTTTATCTTTTTTATTTTTGGGTTTGTGTATGTCTCTCTGATCGCAAACAAACAGCAAAATGGCTGTGCTGAAATATGTGTGTGTGTCACTGGTGTTTACACATGGAGGGAAGAGATGTATTTTTATTCACACCAGGATATTTCTCTCTAAATTTCATCCAGTGCAACTGAATGATGGTTTAACTCCTCACTGCTAAACCCCTTTGGACTGTAAATGACATACACATGGCTGTGCCCACTGCCAGCCCTCTGTATGGACTTTGAAGTGTACAATCTTTTGCATGACAGTCAACATGCAAGTAAGAAGAGTGTTTCTAATGCTGGCTTTGTTTGCTTTTTTTCTCTGTTTCCTTCTATTCCAGAGGTCAACAACAATATGCCAGGTGAGTTTGAATCAAAAAGACCACAATGTAAATATATGACGAGCATAGCAATTATTGGTATAGCTGCAGGTGTCCAGGCAGGCTAGGGCAGTACAAACATAGGCTTGGTGATTGTGCAGTGTCAGGCTGCTTCACTGCTACATCATGGTCTAACAGTATGATAACACTGTATTGAAAAGCTGCCATAAAGAAAGAATAATAAAGTGGCGTGCCAAAGGGAATGTAGAAGATGCAACAAGAAAGAGGCCTGCAGAGAGACACAACCACAATATTTCACCATAACGTAACTTTGACACAAAAGTGAAGACAGCTTCTTGTTTACTGTAGCAGATTACTTCACTCAGAAAAATGTTCTCCCCGTTTGATTTTCTGACTGCGCAGTGAACTGTAAACTGTTTCCTGGAAAGAGGGAATTTTATTTAACATCTGGCACCTGGTGAGCGACTATTAAAGCAACTATAAGTAGTTTAATACAACATTATTATACTAGATGTTACTGGAAATGATTTGCCAGTCTTTATACAACTTTACACATTTCAAATGGAAAGAATTCACCCATTCACACTCAGTTTTACTGAAAATAACCTACTGTGTATTAAAGTGCATGCAGGGTTGGCAAATCTCTAGTCAGGTTTCCATTTAAATGTAGTGAACATTTTTAACCAAATTTCCAGAAAATCAGCAAAGGGAAATGCAAATTATAGTATTTTTCCATCCACTACTTTTATGTGAGTATTGGTAGTGGATTCATTGAGATAAACGGCAAATTTTCCAGTCTGTTGCCATTCAATGGCAGAACCCACTGTCTGACAACGATTCAGCCACTGGGGCCAACTGCCAGTGATTCTGGGCTTTTGGTTTAGCCAGCAGATTATGGATATCCAGGCCAAGACCTCCACTGACTATATGTATGCTGGTTATTGCTTACAGTCCAATTAACAACTTTACTTTAGACCAGGGGTCTCAAAGTGGCGGACTGGGGGCCCTTTGCGGCCCTCCATCCACCTTCCTCCAGCGTATAGTATAACATAATCTGATCAATATAAACTATCCCATCATATACAATTAAAATAAAAATACTTCTATTTTAGTAATTTGTTTAGTTTGGTGTAAAGTAATGGCAAAGATAAAGGGGCCTGCAATTGCAGTTAATACAAAGAGAACAGGTTTGGGGGCTTTCTTGTAGTATTTGAATGTTGAAGATAATGTGAGATTACAGTAGCAGTGGCCCCAAGCCAACCCCTGCTTTAGAAGCAAAAAAACCCCAGATATCTGCATATGAATGCAGATAAATAAAAAAAAGGCTAAATCATCGTCAGAAAATAGCCAATGCCTCTTTTGCTCTTCACACAGACGGTTTACCTGCATGCAACCAAAATCCGTTCAAATGTGATTGGTCAATACTACTCGGACTACAAATGGAAACCAAACTACTTCCGATGCCAAAGTCTTTTTCCATGCCTACAAATTCTTTATTCATATTCAGATATGTGTTTATAGAGAGGAGGCATTAAACCATTGCAGAAGAAAAGGGCTCAACAACACGGTGTAATTAAAAGAGCGCCAGTCAAAGCTCAAACAGAAGAAAATAATGTAGGAAACAATAAAAATAGGACATTTATTTTTGCTTCATGTATGGATGATAATGGTTAGAGGTGAGGTTAAACGTGTTTTAGCAGGATAATTCTTCTACTAACATGCTTGTATTTGTTATGAAGAAGCCTCCTGCAGCCACAGGAAGCTTTGTGTGTTAGTGTGTTCTGATGTCATGCTTTCCTACCTGGAAAAACCATGTATCATCACAATACCAAAGAGTATTGGAACTAAGTGTGCTCTTTCCCTTCCTTCTCTTTTATCTCTCTCATCTTCTCAAGGCCTTGCACATATGATGGCAGAACAAGGTATGCCTCTTCCTCTTCTCTGTCATGTCTTTGTGTTTGTGGGTCCAGTGTGGAGCTGCATGTTTTGGTGTTGGTGTGGAATATTTTGCTGTAATGTAAAATCTTCAGAAGCAAACAAATTATAGTGTATGATAACGCTGGCTGATACTGACCTCTAGCTAAAGCGAGAGAGCTATTTGAAGTTAAAGCTAGCTAGTGATATTTGTTGACACGGTTAATAAAAATTGTATTAAAAAAATCTGGCAGTAGCTGGGATGCCAAAAATGTTATAAAATAAGTATTGTTTTTAGTTTTAATAAAAAAATTAAAGATAAAATCTTGTGTCATTTCTTTGACTTTTTAATGTTTTATTAGAGATAATTTACACATGTAAAAACAATGAAATGACTTATAAATAATAATAATAATATAATAACACTTATAATACAAATAATCAGACTCAAATTTACAGAAGAGTGCTGTTATTATTTGATTTTTCTTATTGTAATCCTAATTTTAAAAGTTATAGAACTGTAATAAAAGTCACCATCTGTGAAATTATAACTGTAATACTATACAAACTATAATTGTGCATAAAAAACACAATTATGTTCTAAAATCCAACACACTATTTATATTATAGTACTATAACTTTCTTCTGCAAAATGCTTATTTTACACATAATAGGCTAGTACATTTAAATGTAGCTTATGATGTTGTTTTTACCTTTACGTAAGTAGGATTTAATTTTTTTTTACATTGTTGTATTTGTGGTTTTACTTAAAGGAAAGGGTCTTCTTTCCACTGTCGTTGGGGGCAAGGGGTTATTATTGAACTAAGTAGTCATTTTAACCTAAACCGGGATTTTTTTCTTACTTACTTACTACTTAGTACTTACTTAAACCCAAGCTATACACAGTTTATGTCTGGTTTCACTTGTTGATGTATGTACACAGCAAAATTTAGGTTATTTATGTAGTATGAGGACCAGGCTAGAAGTGGGGATAACCACTGTGGAATAATAAACACCCCTGAGTTGGAAGAATGGAAGGTTTTTCTGTTCTTCCAATCATACCGACATTGCATGAATGCAGCATTAGGTACCTTTAGTTTAAGTATTAAATAGTAGACTTATTTAACAATTTCAAAACAAAGATAAGGACCAGTGTGTAGGATTTAGTGGCATCTAGCAGTGAAGTTGCAGATTGCAACAAACTGAATGCCCCTTACCTTCCAAGTGTGTAGGAGAAACTACAGTGGCCACAGAATGCAAAATACGCAAAAGGCCCTATCTACAGTGTTTGGTTTGTCCATTCTGGGCTACTGTAGAAACATGGCAGTTCAACATAGCGGACACCGTAGAAAAAGACCCGCTTCCTCTGTCGATATAAACAGCTCATTCTTATATTCAGGTGATTATACACTAATGGAAACCTAGTGATGAATATTATATTCCTTTTCGGCCAGTAGATCCTCCCAAATGTTACACACTGGACCTTTTAACAAATGATAGTTGGACACACAGCAAAACAATTAAATTAAATAAATAGTTATTTAAAATAAAGTTTATTTTTGTAAACAAACTACTTCCAAAATAGAATAAAGCTGGAAAAACATTTATTTTTAGGTAAACATTGTCTTTATTATCCTCACATAATATTATGTGAGGATAATTCACAGACAGAATAGGTATTATGTATCGTCTATGCCAATATTTTCAGTAAAATGATCGTCTTAAAAAGGCATGAAAATGAAGGAATTACAAACTACGTGTTACACAGGTTACCTGGCCAGCCTGAAAACTTTTAACCCACCATTCTGTAGTTAGTGCTGTCTGCCTTTGTGTGTAGTTGTTTGTGTGCAGTGTTGCTGTGACATTCAGAGGTCCTTTAGTACCTGATATGGTTGCATGTTTCAAGTGTTTTGGATGTACACCTGCATTATAGTTGCCACTGTACATTGATGTATCCTCACGACATGTATTCATATATACATTGATATGTTTGCGTGTGCTGGAATTTGAACTCACGTCTCCTCTTCTCCTTCCTCCCGGTCCGGCTCTCGGCTGCGGATCCTCTCTTCTCTCTCCGCCTCCTCCTGCTCTTCTAGCTAAAAGCAAAGGTACAGCTTTTTCGAAATCTTTCCTTTTCCGCCTCTATGAAAAGCGACGCTTGCTCTGTGAGTGTTTGAGAGCCCTAATGTGTTTACTTGTCTGTGTTCACTGTCTCTTCTGTAATGGTTTCTCACCAAGGGTGCTGGATTAAGCGAGTAATTAAGCCAACCTTAATTGAAGGAGAAGGAAAAAAGCAAGCGTGTTGCTTTGTGTTTCCTTTGTGTGTGTGTGTGTGTGTGTGTGTGTGTGTGTGTGTGGGGTAATTCGTTAGAATGTCGTACAGTGTGTACAGTGTGTGCAGGGACGCTGTGAGACACTTTAGTGATGCAAAGTAAACAACAGTCACTGTGGATCAGTTTTCATAAGAACAAGCCTCTCCACGCTCTTCCTCACTAAATCAGGGTTTCTACTCATTGCTGACATTTACATAAGCTGAGTTCAAATGACAGTATTTCTAATTCATTCCTTCTACCGGCTGATGGAAGCAGAGGCCAGACAGGATTCTTTCTGGCAAAGAACTGACAAGCATTGTCTTTAACTCTTTAATTCATTAACTAAGGTGATGTTCACACCTAATCCGTTTGTTGTAGTTGTAAAAAAACTGTATGCTGGTGAGAATGCCGCTAATCAAACCAAAAACCAAAAACTGCCTTAAAGCTGCTACAGATCAGTGCAGGTCAGGAGGGTGGCTCACTAAATGATCCAGTGGATGAGTTATGTGTGGGGGTGAGCCTGAAATGGACTGGAAGGTAGCAGTGGCTCATTTCTTGCTTTCCTTTGGAACTCAGGGTTTGACATCAGTGTTGGATATGAATAAATACACAGAAAGCTCACCTGCTGATCTGTAGGCTTGAGACCTGAGTCAGCCTTGAGTTGAAAAAATTAAGACGTGACTTGACATGGACTAAAAATGTGACCTATTTTAAAAAAAAAAAAAAAAAAAAGGTTTGGGTAGGAGCACTTCCTGGACTCAATTTGAGTTTGAGGTACTCTTTGGATAAGGATACACACAAATTTACCAGGCAAACAGAAAGTTTCAGGTCTAACTTTTAAAAGAGAGTGCCCTGGAGTTGTCTTGTGATTTATCATCAAAATTTTAGGCCTAAAAATGTCTAATGATGTATGAAATATGGGGTTTCCTGATAGCTCATCTGGTAGAGCTGGCGGCCCATGTACCAAGGGTGAGTCCTTGCTGCAGCGGTCATGGGTTGGACTCGACCTGTGTCAGTACGTATCATTTTTCAGTGTCGCTGTTAAATATGAAAAAACTGATCATGGTGTAACGACCAAAACTAACATGGAACCAATTCAGATTTCCCTTCATATCCTTCATACTTTTGTGACACTATGGACTAGAAATAGGTCTTGTGCACCACAAAGTCCTCCTTAATCAGCTCTGACTCCCACTGCGCTTCTCAAAGTTCCTCACTGAGTTGATGAGGTAACCCTGTTGGTCATGCCTTAAACCAGTGATTAATTAGTGTAGATGAAACTGTTTTATTAACTATGCAGAGGTACAATAATGCTAAACAGACCCATACTATATCATAATGACATGATCCTATATTTTCTTGCATTACTGTTCAGTAACTGCTGCCGTCTGCAACCCCCCACCCCCCACTGACACTGCCAGTGAACATACATGTTGAACCTGTATCATCTCCACAGTGTCAGCTGAGTGCAGTGTGTCTCCTCTGGAACTCTGCCCTCCTCCAGCTGCAGGCGCACCAGCAGCTTCTTCTCTGCTGCAGCTGCTGACTCGGCTCTGTCTGTCAGTCACAATACCGTAGCCCCACATGATTATTACACTCACATGCAAGTGTGTGTGTGTGTGTGTGGGTGTGTGTGTGTGTGTGTGTGTGTGTGTGTGTGTGTGTGTGTGTGTGTGTGTGTGTGTGGTTTTTTGGAAACAGGTTGTATCGCAATTTGGCAAACAGTATACTTAAAATGTGTCCTGGAAATGTTAATTATAACTTCTATCTTAAGGATAGGAAGAGAATAGTTTATCAGTCCATCTTTTTCATTCTGCCTTTGCTCTAAAGTTATCCTATAATCTGTATCAGGGTCTGTATATTTGATTCTGCTGCTGGCTGCACAGTGCACATGCTCCTTTTTAAGGGTGTTTGTCCCACACACTTTTTTCTTTTATCCTGTAGTGCACATGGACAAACATGCCTCTACTGCTATAGAAATGTAGTAGCCTAAAGTATATGGCAGTAGTTAATAATAATAGCACTACTACAAGCACTAGATACACCTTATTTCACAATCACAGCATTGGACAAACACAAAGACAGCAATGCATTGTGCAAAAGGAGCAGTCCTTTGTGTCTCTGTGCATTATTTTAAATAGAAACTGCCATAAAACATACCACAGTTAGATTGTCGGTTTTAACAAAAAACGTTTCTTACATTTTGTAAAATTACATTTTGAAGATGACCGTGGGGGAAGGGACAAAATGGGGTTGTTCAAGGTAATTCTGGGACATTTCTGAACCTTTGGGCTCGGTATTTGTTTAAAAGATTACAATACCAGTACCCTTAAAGTGATTTGATACCCATCACGTGAATGGAAGCATCTTACTCATATTCCAGATTTTCACAGAAATAATCCTTCTTTACTTTACTTTATGCATTTCTTTTTATCAGACAATTTACACAGACGTGTAGTATAGCCATAGTTTCGACATTTACTGACCTGCCAACTGTCAAATACACCTTGCTTGACTTCACCACCACAGACTGTACGTAGCTGTTGGCCTAAAACCCACCGGGTGGCCCGCTTGAGTTTTTAGCCGTTTAGATTGTCTAAACAAATATAAATGTTTAAACTTTTGTCAATATGGATGCTGCACATTGTTAGATCTGTTAGATTCTCCACAATTCAATCCTTCACTTAATTTTACGGAAATTATGAACACCAAAGTATAACGTCAATTCATTCAGACTACCACATTAAACAAACGAGAAAAAAACATCTTACGGTCTGTGTCCGTTCCTCCATTATTTATATTCCTTTAGTCCGTAAGGGTCCACCAATCAAAAGAATCAAGGCTTTCAATAAAATTAATCCGAGTTGTGAATATTATCATGTGAAGTTCATTGCTCGCTGTCTGTACGCTGGCTGCCGTAAATCTTTGGATTCCGTAAAACAACGTTCACATTCAAGTGTCGATAATGCATTAAAATACAGTTAGTGTAGACTCATATGAACAGTCTACCTTGAAATGCTAGTTAGAAACATAAGAGCTGGTCTTGCATTGGAGAGTGGCGCCATATTGGGGTTGATGACGACAAATTTAGTGGACAAAATGTGGAATGTGGAAATTACAGTGTGGGATTTAATGTTCCTGGCGGGTGCAAGAAGAAAGCGTTAGCAGCCCCAGTACAGAAACATGTCTTTGGGTGTTTGCCTTGAGAAGCTGTAATTGGTCGCAGCCTGCTGTGTACACCTGTAATGGCTTCCCCCATTCACAGAACAAAGCTCGTGTAAGCTCCTGGAGCTTCCTCTCCCCTCACCACCTGTCTCTCTTCCTTGTTGCTGTGTCTAATCCCTGAGCGAGATGGACATTATTAGGCATCAGGCTCCCTGTCGGCTCCTGTTAGGAAGACAAGAGGCTCCATTCTGGCTCTATTTGCATGGCGGCTCACTGGTGGCAGTGCTGCAGATAGAGAGAGAAGGGGATAATAGGAAACTGTGTCTCTGCCGTCGAAGAGTCACATTTTACTGTCATGGACTGAAACAGAACACTTCTCTCCTCATTTTAATTTATTTAGATTTCTTCTTGTTAGACTCTTTTTCTTTCTCTACTTTAATATTCTCTTGGTCGATCTGCTCCCTTGCCTCTGTTATCTCTGTCGCTGCTTTGCATTCCCCTGCTGTCTCTGCTTTCTTCTTCATTTTCACTCCTTATTCACTCCCCTAAGTACCTCTTTTGTTGCCTTCAGTTGACCTCTTGCTTCTCTTTCTAAAATCACCACCGGTTTCCAGTATTATCCATTTTTATTACCTTCATTCTCTGTTCACACTCGCTCTCTTAATGCAGTTTTGTCTACCTACAATTTTAGTTTCAATACACCTATGAGTCTTGACGGACACAGGGCTCAAGCAAAACGAATGTCACTGAACCTGGCTCAATATTGGTGACTTTTGCCATGTTATAGAGCAACACACTGTACTTGTCGGTAAATTATGTGCAATCATACAATCCTGGTAGATGACTCTGTAACTTAATCTTATTTTGTTTACCTGGTGATTATCAAAATGGATGATGATTTTCCAAAGTAAAATCCACAAATAAAACATCACCATCAATAAAGCATCCGATAAGCCGTCATACTCATGGATGTTAGTCAAGCTGGCATTTCTGGATTGCATTTCATTGTCCAACCCAGGGGTCAGCATCTGTCTGGAAATGCAAAACATATTTAAACCCTATAATGCTGATTTCTAACTGCAGATGAAGCATACCTTTAAGCCAGCGGCGTTGGTGGTGAAAGCAAACAAATCTGTCCACACAGATTCCTTATCTGTTCTTCTTTTTGGATTTGGAATCCATAGCTAGCCTAGCTAGGGACACTCAAGAGTAGTAGCTTCCACTATTGGGGTTCAGCAAAATATAGAGCAAAACATGCCAGGTCAGGACGTAACGCACGAGTCACATTTCGGTTGTCAAAATAAAAAAACATTTATTTGGTGTGTGATGACTACACATTCTTACAACTGGAGAATGTAAAGCCCAGTTCAGATCCAAGACTCACTTTGAGATGAAACCGTTTCAGAACGTTGCAGGGAAAAGTCACAGCGGTGTGAACTGGCCCGGCCGATTGTCACATCTCCAGTGGCTGGTTTTAGAATGTAAGACATGTCCCCTGTTTCAACGGCCAATCATCTTGTAAGGAAGTCAGCTGGTACAAAGCAGTTGCAAACAAATGAGTTACGGAGGTAAGAGAGAACCACCTCATCAATTTGTATGACACAAGCGATACGCCGCCTCACCTAGCTGCACAGGTTTTTAGAATGTTACAGACCAGCATATTGCAAGTACCTGCAAGTGTCAACTTG